TGCTGGTTGCTGAGGAAATACTACAACTTTGCGCTGTGGATTGCCGGATCGGCAGAGCGGAGGCCGGAGGGCTAGAGTGAGGAACGGCCGGTGGGCTTGAGAACGGCGCTGCGGGCAGGCTTGCGGCAACCACATGTGACGACCCCGGGCTGGACTCCGCTTCATGCGGTGTAAATCAGGGGTTATATACTGCACTACAGGCTACAGTGCCATCTATTGGATTTTACTGACATTGCATCAAATTAGCCATTTTGGACCATCTCCTCACTGGCCGGATGAAAACTCTCGGCGGGCCGTAGTTTGCCCACCTCTGCTTTAATTCATCATTGAAACACGAATGAAGATATTTTTAATGAAACCAGAGCGATTCCTGTCCATGTAACCAAAACTTTGACTAGTGAAGAAGTTTATAAAGAGATTGTAAGTGTTACCAATATTAACTTAGTGGTTTGATCCAAGTCTTCTGAAGAGACATGTTTAATTAAAATCGCTTCAATTGTGTTATGAAGATGAACGATAGTCTCATGGGTTTGGAACGGCATGAGGGTGAGTAAATGATGAATTTTAATTTCTGGGTAAAATAACTCTTTAAACTATTTAAGTTTCTGCACTGAATGGGTTAATTTATTTGATTTAATACATTTTTTGAATCATCAAAATCTTGGTAGAATGGACTTTCAATGAAATTTCCCAGGTTTCATTAAAATCGCTTCAATTGTGTTATGAAGATGAACGATAGTCTCATGGGTTTGGAACGGCATTAGGGTGAGTAAATGATGAATTTTAATTTCTGGGTAAAATAACTCTTTAAACTATTTAAGTTTCTGCACTGAATGGGTTAATTTATTTGAGTCAAAGCAAGAAACAATGATTGTATTCTCATAAATACACCTTTGTGTTTGTCCAGGTGGTTTATAGATATGGAAGGTGCTCCAGGTACTCTCTATGAAGGAGAGAAGTTTCAGCTCCTCTTCAAATTCAGTGGTCGATATCCTTTTGATTCACCTCAGGTAAACTGTGAATCTTTTATAATATGTTGGTGTTTTTGTCTGTGTCAAAGCTGAATGCTTGTTGCTAATATATATATTGTTTCTAGGTAATGTTCACTGGAGAGAATATACCCATCCATCCGCACGTCTATAGCAACGGTCACATCTGTTTATCTATTTTAACGGAGGACTGGTCACCAGCTCTGTCTGTGCAATCTGTTTGTTTAAGCATTATTAGCATGCTGTCAAGCTGCAAAGAAAAGGTACATTTAACCTTTTAATTAACCAAATTGGGAAAGGTTAATAATTTAATTAATTACGGTTGTCTAATGAACTGTTTGCTTTTCAGCAACGCCCTCCAGATAACTCCTTTTATGTAAAGACATGTAATAAGAATCCAAAGAAAACGAAGTGGTGGTACCACGGTGAGTGTATCCCGTTATCTTCAATAGAACTACTTTTCATGTGAGTTATTTTAGTGTCTGACCAAAGTTCAGATCACATTGTTTGCTTTGCTCTCGCTCTCTATGCTAAATTCATGTCTTCTTTTTTTGTTTTGTTGTTTCAGATGATACATGCTAGTATCCTCACAATTTTGATATATAAACAGACTTTTCCAAGTACATCAAGTACTTTATGATACAATCTTTTGGGTTAAGACTGAACCCGCAGACCCTGGGATGGTGATTTATGTGTGGATTAGGTGTACACTTCTGCTGACTGGAAAAAGTGCATAAAAACTGCAGGAATGTAACCCACCCGGCAAGTATATTTTGATGGAAGCAAGATGTGGAGCTTTTCTTTTTTAAATTTTTTTTTTATTTTGTTATGTTTGATTTACGTTGTATTGTTTTCTTTCATAAGTCTCTAAGGTTTTGCACCAATTGTGAAGTAATAACTTGGGTTTGGAATAAAAGGAAAGTCAGTGCAAATCAGAAACCCAGCTACTGTAATGGATCGATCATCAAAAGCAGAGACAGATGTCTATCTTTGCCTTGCTAGGTTATGCACTGTGAAATTCGAACAGGGCGTATTTTTACATATATTTTATGTAATATTTTAGTTGTATATTTTAAAACCATAGTTTATTTTAAAACATAAGCCATTTTAAGTTGAAAATGTAGCTGGGTGTGGTGTATGAATGTCATATTTACAGATATGTACAAATTTAATGCAGGGTGTTGATCATATGGCATGATCTTAAAGGTTATTTGGAATTACACCGATGCTTTATGGGTTAGGATTTAAGCACTGGTTTTATAGATATACCCCCATTTTGTGTAGTTACAATGAGGTAACTTTAAGCATAATCACTTTGTCTTTTATGTGAAGCTCTATCTAGTTATATTAAAATTGTCTGTTTGATTTAATGATTTATCCTACTGTGCTGGGAAAGGTTCTTTTAAAAAGACGACTTTTCCATGCTGTTAGCTTTAGAAAAAGTAAAGTTTGTCTTCATTGTTTTGTTAAAACCTTATTTAACTTTATTTAAAAGAAATGTTCTTATTAAAGTAATATATTTTGAAAAGCTGTCATGTATTTCAATTAGACTACTTTACGAATGTGTATTGTGGGACTTCAAATATTGTTTGAGTAATGAACTTATCCTCAAAATTGTCGGACTCTGATGGTATACAAGCAGTGTGTTTTATATAAGGCAATTATGACAATTACAAACACCAGCATTGACGCTATTTTGTGATTGAATGCTGATCTGTCCACTAGAGGGAAGCACAGTAATGTAAACAGATTCGTTACATTCACATTCATGTTTGTTGCAGGCAAAGCAGCAAACTACTAAACTACTGTTCAAAAGTTCAGGGTTGGATTTTTTTATTTTTTATTTTTTTAATGCAAGGCTACATTAATTTGGTAAAAAATACAGTAAGACTGTAATATTGCGAAACATTATTAAATATCTGTTTTCTTTTTTAATACATTTAAATATATAAATGTATCCCTGTGATGGCAAAGCTGAATTTTCAGCAGCCATTACTTACAGTGTTCAATGTCACATGATCCTTCAGAAATCATTCTAATATGCTGATTTGGTGCTCAGGCAACATTTCTTCTTATTATTATTATCAATGTTTAAAAACTGGTGCTTGATATTTCTCTGAAAACCGTGAATAGAAAGTAACCATGTAAGTCACTATTGACCAATTTAATGGATAACTGCTGAATGAAAGTATTAATTTCTAAAAAAAAATAATAATAATAATAATAAAATCTCTTGAACGGTAATGTAAGTCTTAATGCTACACTGTAAAAAATGACAGTGAATTTAACAGTAAAAGACTGTAAAAAATGCTACAGTAAAAACCTGTTAAATGGTTAAAGGTAAATTCCCCTACTATATACGGTGAAAAACTGTATTGGACATTAATTTTACGGTAGTATACCGTTTTTGGAAGTGGAAAAGAATTCCCTGTTACATAAAACTTGTCAAATGTAAACTACAATCTCTCTCAAAGCAATTCTTGGTGAAGCAAAATAATTGTCAGTGCATAATTAATAATTTTTACTACAGATTCCAGTGAAAGCACATCACAAACACCTTACAATGGCTGCTACACAACCAATCGTTCTTTTATGCTGTCATCTCTAATGAGGAATAAACTGCATACTTTTTGAGTTTGTACAAGGGGCCCTTTATTGTTTATTGGTATTTAGGCTGAAAGTGGAGTTATCTAATCCAGTGGTTCCCAACCCTAGTCCTGGAGGCACCCCAACATTGCACGTTTCGCATGTCTCCTTAATCAAACACACCTGATTCAGGTCATCAGTTCATTAGTAGAGACTTCAAGACCTGAAATTGGTGTGTCAGAGAAAGGAGACATGCAAAATGTGCAGTGTTGGGGTGCCTCCAGGACCAGGGTTGGGAACCACTGATCTAATCCACAGACAGGCGTCACTTGTTGGCTTTTATTCACTGACCTGTCAGTGAATAAACTGTCAGGTTTTTGTTAGGCCGTGCCATGAGTAACACTGGCAGCTTTCTTAATAATCTGTTGAAGGAAGTGTACATAGATGAGGTCTGTGCTTTCCTTATGTCTGACTTTAGGCACAATACAGAATCCATTGTATTCCGACCCCTACGAAATCCACTCTGATATGGAGATAAAAGAGTTTTATTTTCCAGGAAGAATGTTATTCTTTCTGTGATCATTCGTTCCATGATTTTGCATAAATGTGAAGTCAAGGCAATTGGTCTGTAACTAGAAGGATCTGATGGGTCTTTCCCTGGTTTAAGAACGGGTACTATTATTGCTTGTTTCCATACTGAAGGAAGTTGTCCAGTATCCCAAATTTGGTTAAACAGATTTAATATTATTTCTAACGAGTTATCTGTCATGTGTGCCAACATTTTATAACATACCCCATCTTTCCCTGGAGTTGTCTGTCGAGCACTAATTATTGCTCTTTTTAACTCAAACATGTTTAATGGTAGGTCTAATGGATTTTCCGACATTTAAATCAGCATTTAAGTTCATTTAATTCGTTCTTATATCAAGTTTTCTCTGCATTAACATTTTTTTTTCAGCATATGCACATTTAAAACAAGTCTCGTCCTTTCCCTAAGAAGCCCCATCATTCTGAAAAAGCTTTTCATGCATGTTCAGTTACATGATAATATTTTCAGATGTGTTTTATATCCTCACCTGACTATTAAATGTAAATATTTGAAAGTAAAAGTACAATTCTTATTTTAATAGGCTGGCTGTGTGCTTTCAAATGTCAAAGATAATTTATTAACAAGGTACATCATCACTGAGATTATAGCTGTTTAGTGCTTTGGAATGTTTCTTGCAGTGGAACGCATAAATGAGATGTACCATTCAAAGTGGAGAAAATGCAGATGATGGATTTTAAGCATGGATTTAACCTCCTTGTTTGAAAATCTGCCATGACTGTCATGCCATGAACATTTATACAGAAACCAAATCACCTTTTTTCCACTTAGCATTAAGGGGAAAAGGAAACTGTACATGGTTAATTTGAAGACAATTAACAATAAGCACTTGGGGCAATTTCTGTTAATATTTTGCTTTAATCATTGTTGTTGTCCAAATAATCAACACATCAAGACCACAAAGGCAACAAGAAGAAATACTTTCATTACATCGTGCATTTCATAGTGTTATTAGGAGGATAAAACCTCTAAAGTGACAAAGTCTTGGAATGTTGAGAAGAAAGCAACAATACTTGACAAATAAAATGTGAATACATATAAATAGGTGACAGGCCTTAAGCAACCTTACAGTAACACACAACATTTCATTATTAAAGCTAATCGCTACATAGTGTTCTACATTTGTAATTATTGCAACCTCAAAGTTGACAGCAAAAATTCATCTTAAAAAAAAAAAAAAACAATGTACAGTTTCAGCATTCCAGAGGAACTAACACAGAATTTTGCAGCATTGCTCAGTCAGAACCAGTTAGATTCCAGTCTTTGATTCATTGTTGTTTGTGGACTCCTTCCGTTGAGCCAGAAATGGGTACATGCATTTATCAGCACCGATAAATCTGTACATGGAAACAATGGCATCAAATGGCAAAACACTGCAAAATATGAGAGAATGAAGACAATTATAAATAGACAGCTTAAATAAAACAAGAATATTTAAGTATTTGACATATTTACTCACGTTTTCATGAAGGTGACCATGTACATGACTCGTGGCGTGCAGATCATTGGTTGGTCTGTTAGTATGGCTCTCATGGCCTGTTTGACACAGTACTCTGGCTTTAGCGGTGGAAACAATGGAGCCATTTCTTTCCTGTTTAAAAGAGATGAAAGATTGAAAGAGAACAATTAATCAAAATTAGAACATCTCGTCTTCAGAATTAAGGACATGCTGTAAAAACCACAAACCTAATTTTGCAGCCTTTGAACATGCCAGTGTCAACTAAAAAAGGACAGACAAGCGTCATCTTTATTCCATCCTTATCAGCTGCTTTCAGTTCATGGCTCAAGGACTCATGGAAGCCTATGGCTCCGAACTTGCTCGCACAGTAGTCCTACAATAAAGAGGAGAAAAGTGATGTTTCCTGAACTGCAAAAGTGTTTTTGTAACAAACTGTTGTACATTATACGAGATAGAAGATGGAAAAAGTGAGAACTTCTTACCTCTACACCAGCAGTGGTGAACAAGCCCAATGAGCTAGCTACAGTTACAATGTGTCCGTGATTCAGCTCAAGCATCTTGGGAAGGAAAGCCTTTGCAGTCTGTGAATATAAACATATACAGAATCAGAAGATGAACATAAGATATCAAGCGTGAAAAGAGAAGACTGCAAAACTTGACATTAATGGTGCTGATCAAAGCCATATACTGACCCAGAAGTGAGCATGGCAGTTGACCATCATAGTTCTCTCGATAAGCTCATCCGGGCACTCGAGAAGATGACGACCTGAGACAACTCCAGCATTATTGATCAACAGGTCGATGTTGCCCACCTCATTGCGCACCTTCTCTGCAGTTGAATACACACTCTCGCGTTTACTGACGTCGCAAACATACGTGTACACTTTTGGCTGAAACAGAGACAACTCTTGAACACTATCCAAAGACCCTGTAAAAAGAAAAAGATAGATTACGTAAAAATAGAGTATTGCACAATTTTACCCATTTAAAATCTCTCTTATCCCATTTAATCCCAGCAGCAATTACATTTGGATTTTGAAGGGTCTGAAAAGGGTTGTTGATGTACTTAACTCAGAATTGCCAACTAAAAATAAAAGGTACAAAATTGTTAACCTTCTATTCAGTCTTAACTGACCAACTGAGAAAAATTCCCACCAGTTATCATTAATAAAACACATACTTTCATAAAGTCTTTAAAAACTTTCAACTTGGGTTATCTAGTTATAAAATACACGTGTTTACTTTCCTGGGAAAATCTGGGATTAAACGGGTTAAGAAAAAATGTAGGCTATATTCTTAACACTTTACAATAAGGTTTTATTTGTTAACATTAATTAACTGTATTAGCTGACAGGAACCAACAATGACAAATACTTCTAAAGCACTCAATCTTTCTTAAAATTAATGTAACCATTTACAAATACATTATTAAAATCAAAAGTTTTATCGTTATTATTTAATGGACACGAGCTAACATTAACTAGCAATGGCCAGTTGCATTTTATTAACTAACGTTAACAAAGACAAGTACTGTAACAAATGTTTTACAACATAACAATAAGCATAAACTATTTGGGACTTTATTGTACAGTATTACAAAAAAATCTCGTGAAAGACTAACAATAGGGGGAAAGGGTCGTTTACTATTAAACTCACCAGTTTCTCGGTAGATTTCACGCACCATCTCTGCGGTCTCTTCGTTATTCTGTCGGTTGATGTCCCACAGCACAAGGGTCGCTCGTCTCTGGGCAAACTCCAGCGCAAAGAGTCGCCCGAGACCGCTTCCAGCTCCGGTAATTACACACACTTGGCCCTCCACACACTTTTCCCGCGGAGGAATGAACCAGCTAGCACCGGCCAGTAAAAACGACCATATTATTTTAAAAGTGACTACGAATAATTCAGTTACGATATTCATGATATACGCGACTCTGTGTTTCCACTCGCCAAATTAAACAAATTAGACCGACGTTCAGTCCCAACAGCAAAGAAAGAAATCAAACCGCAAATGTGCTCAAAAGAAACACCCTGTCGAGGCTTAAATAAACCCTGGATCCCTCGGCTTTCACTCCAGGATGCCCATAACAGTGTATTTCTGTGGCTCTGTAGCTCTTTAAATATGATCGAACTCACTTGACTTCATAACTTTCCACGCGTGTTTGTGTCCGCCTGGTATGCAAAGCAGTCACCGCGTGTGCGTCATATCTAATGCACTGTTTCCAGACTATCTACATCTCAACACAATGAATTTTGAGAATACAATATCAGCGCAACCAGAAAGTCACTTCTTCTTCTTCTTATGATGTTTAATGGCGGTTGGCAAACCAGCTTTTGGTGCATATTCCGCCACCTACTGGGATGGAGTGTGAGGCGCTGATATCAAGGGAAATGCTAATTCTCAAAACAAAAAAAAACAAAAAAAACAAACAAAAAAAAAACCTTCTACCTATATTTTATTATATAAATTTGTTATTTTCAAAAAATGTATAAGAGCTTTATAACCTTTATGAGAACTGTTTAACACATTCTGTAATGTCATAGAATTAATGCCGTCAGATTTTAATTCCTCTTTTAACTGTATTCTTTCCCTTTCATATGCCCTACAGTTAATCAGCACATGCTCTACAGTTTCTGGAAGTCCACAATGATTACATTGACCAGATTCATGTCTTCCTATCATCTGGAGTGATTTATTAAGAGTAGAGTGTCCAATTCTCAATCGAGATATAACTGTATCATCCCTTCTATTACCATAAGCAGTTCTTACTTGTCCTACTTGTTTATTTATATTATACAAATGTCGCCCTTTGTTACCTTTATCCCATCTCTCTTGCCATATCTTTCTGACAGCTACTTTAATTAAACCTTTAATTTCAGATTTACTCAAGGGTATATGTATGTCAATATTTGTGTGCTTAAGAGCCTGTTTCACTATCTTGTCTACCTCCTCATTTCCTTCCACTCCAACATGAGCAGGCACCCATACAAATTCTGCTAGAATTCTCAGTTGCCGTATTCGGTACAAACTTTGCAGTACTTCTAATAAAATATCTTGTCTAGATTCTGATTTTCCACTCAATATACTTGTGAGTGCAGAATATGAATCTGAACAAATTACCACTGTTGTTGGTTGGATTTCTTCCACCCACTGTAAAGCTATCTGAATAGCGATCATCTCTGCTGCATATACTGATATATTATTAGAAGTTCTTTTTGCAGATTTATATTTAAAGTGAGGAATATACATGGCAGCACTTGTACGCCCAGTTTCTGGGTCTTTAGAACCATCTGTATAAATTTGTAAAAATTGAAAGTAATGACTATCTAAATGCTGCTGCACTATTGTCTCTTTGGGAACATATTTCTTGTTTTCGTTTATTAAATTAAATATCTGCAAATCAACTGTTGGCATAGAAAAAAACCAAGGTGGATACAGAAAGTCACTTAAAAATAAATAGTCTTATTATTCTTAAAATGCAGGCAATATACCTAGAGACCTAATAGTTAACCGGAAGTCTGAAGGACCTCCTTTATAAGACGCCACCGCGCATGCGTAGAAGCCTCTTTTACTGTAGGAATAATGGCGGATGAAACGTAAGTTGGAGACCGTGCTATTTAAATCTTGTCCCATCGGTCGAAATATTGCTCATACGATATTGTTTGTAGTCTAAGTGAGCAATGTGTGTATATTTAAGCATTATGGTGGGAAAATTGGGAGCAGCGGGGAATGATGAATCGACAAATTTGTTGTGAACGTCGTGTAGTCTGCCTGTGCTGAATCGGTTTAGCAACGTGTGAAAAAGCGGTTCATGTAACAACATTAAAACGTGTCCGAATTAGTATTTATGTACGTAAATACCAAAATATGGTATTTGGTTGTGAAATAGTCTTATTCGAGCCAACATTTACTTATTGTCATAGACTGCTAACTTAAGGCAAAGACATGATGCTATGCTACACGCTAGTACTGTTCTTATTAATAAAAGTAGTAGTCTTAAGGTTATGCTGTTATGTACTCTTCGTAATATATATCTTGGTTGTGTAGTTTATACATAGTCTGCTTCTTTTAATGTGACAGTTGTCATAGCCTGGTCTGCAGGCCTAACGTGGATAACGTTACCAAGAAAATGACAAATGTGCAAATTTTTGATTTCTCATCAGAAAGAAGAAGGTTCCCTCAGTCCCCGAAAGCCTCTTGAAGAGGCGACAGCGTTTCGCTGTCATTAAGGCTGTGCGTCTGAAGAAGGCGGTAGCTGACAAGAAGGTTGGTGGTTCAGACTTCACCTGTTTGCTTTGTTTCTAAAGAGGTCAAGATAATGTTGAAAAACGTAGAGCCAAAATTGAGCATGTGTTTCTTCTCATGCCCATAGGCCCGCAAAGTCACCAGGAAACTCATCTTCAAGAGAGCTGAAGCTTACCACAAGGAATATAGACAGATGTACAGGCGTGAAATCCGCATGAGCAGAATGGCTCGCAAGGCCGGCAACTACTATGTCCCAGCTGAGCCCAAACTTGCTTTTGTTGTCAGGATCAGAGGGTAAATTTTCCACTTTCAAATGCTGTTTTTATTTATCTGTCATGCTGTAGGCAGATGTCACCAATTGTGGTTAATGATGTTGCTCTTTTTTCCCCGTCTTATCGACCATGGTGATTCCTCTTGAAAATAAGCCAAGTCCTCTGAAACCACCACCAAGTATTAATGGTAATGAAACTGTTTTGAAAGTTGTTGATTAAATACCTTGTGTGTTCTCAGTATCAATGGTGTCAGCCCCAAAGTCCGCAAGGTGCTTCAGCTGCTCCGTCTCCGCCAGATCTTCAACGGTGTCTTTGTTAAACTGAACAAGGCCTCCATCAACATGCTCCGAATTGCAGAACCCTATATTGCCTGGGGGTATGTAAAGCTGTTTTGGGTTGGTAATTATTTATTTATTTATTTATTTATTTTTAAAGAAATGAATGGTTATTCAGCAAAGATGCATTAAACTTACAAAACTTACAAACAAAAGATTACTATTTTCAATAAATGCTGTTCTTTTGGGGGGGGGTGGGGAAATCAGTTTTCACATGTTAAGTAGCACAACAATATATAAATAGTAGGGCTGCACGATAAATCGCATGCGATATTTAACGCGCATCTTATGAGTAAAGCCGGTTCTGTAATCAGAGTCCTGATTCTGGATAAGGAATCAGGAATCAGCGGTAAATCTCCATCACCTGCGGGCTTTCACATTGAGCAGTCGCATGCAATTTATCGTGCAGCCCTAATAGAAATGATAAAATAACAGTTTTTTTTATATAGTAATATTGTGAAATTTGTATAGTTTGTAATGCATCTTGGATCAAATAAATGCATTCTTGGTTATTATGAGACCTTTATGAGAAAGTTCTCATTATTAGACAAAAGTCTTGCCTAACCCCATTTAAGTGGTGGAGTATACTTTGCTCAAAAATGAAAGTTTCTCATGTACTGTTCTTCATGTTACTCCAAACCAATATATAATCAACTTTTTTTCCATTTAATGGAAAAGGAGAAGAGTTGAAGAATGTACTGGCTGCTCTTTTGTGTAATAGAAGTGAATGGGAACTCTGGTTTTTAGGTTCTAAAAATTTGAATGCTTTGATTTTTTTTTTTTTTCCATTACATCGGTTACATGAACAGTTGGCTTTGACATCTGGGGGCTGTACCATGATGGTGGCTGAACAAACTCAGGGTTACAGGATTAGTTTTGAGTTGACAAAACCAAACCACTCCAATCCGGCTTTGTTGGTACCATGAAGCTGATCATCAACTTTCTCGGTCAACTCAGGCTTGAAGAGTGACATCAGTAATGAACAGCCAATCAGATGCCTTGAAACTGTGATTCACTTCTAGCGTTTTAGCGCTAAAACTAACTCCTAAATCTGTCACCCTAAATCTAAGTCACTAAAACCAAATCACAAACTATCCTGAAATGGCTGTTATTGCAGATAACATCTGAAGTAAAAATTCATTTACATACACATAACAAAAAAACTAATCCTGTGTGACAGATTCGCTTGAAATCAGGGGCCTGTACCATGATGGTGGCTGAACAAACTCAGGGTTACAGGATTAGTTTTGAGTTGACAAAACCAAACCAGTCCAATCCGGCTTTGTTGGTACCATGAAGCTGATCATCAACTTTCTCGGTCAACTCAGGCTTGAAGAGTGACATCAGTAATGAACAGCCAATCACATGCCTCGAAACTGTGATTCACTTCTCGCGAGAGAGTCAGTGCGATTCACTACCAAAGATTAAAAGATTGAACAATATGAAGAATTTAAACACATTTACATGAGATGAAACTATCTTTCCATGAAAGAGGGAAACTTAAAGAAAACATCTTGCCATATAAGTGCAAGTAAAAGTTTTAAAGTTAGTTTATGGAGTTGATAATATTTATAGGTATAAAAACACTTATATCTAAGCTCATACGTAGTCATGTTTAAAGCTATTGATTCTAAAACTTATTTATATTGCATATTTGTTTATATTAATTTAAAATAAAAGCTTGATAATTACTATTAAACTAAGCTAGCTTGTGTAATGGATTAAGGGTATAATTAAATCATAATTACATCATCTTTACAAATCAGACAATTGCGTAGTCATGTTTAAAGCTATTGATTCTAAAACTTGTTTATATTGCATATTATCTGTTTATATTAATTTAAAATAAAAGCTTGATAATTACTATTAAACTAAGCTAGCTTGTGTAATGGATTAAGGGTATAATTAAATCATAATTACATCATCTTTACAAATCAGACAATTGTATCTTTAAAAAGGTTTTACTATGTAGCATCCTTTAATTTGAAGGAAGAGAAACTGGGGGAGTGGCTTTGTGTCAGACATGTCACTTTGCTTGAAGCTGATTGATCAAATTTTGGGTTGAGATCTCTAAACCAGAACATAACCTGCCCCGGAGCTGGTTAGCTGTGGAACGTAAGTTACTATGGTGATGAACACCACTAAAAGCCATGCCACTTTCATGGTACCTAAAACCCAGGATTGGTGCAAACTAAACTGAAACTTACCTGGCTAGCCAGCTAATCCAGCTTCATGGTACAGGCCCCAGATCTAAAGTGTCCCATCAAAGGTGTCATATGTTGAATGCATTTTTTGTTGCACAGATCTATTGTGTGGCTTCAGAAGACTAATATAGTGCGTATGAAAGTCAGTATTTGGTGCTTAGCCATTTGTCATTCCCCATTTACTTACATTTTATGGAAAAGATTGTCTGTTACCTTAGTATTTCCCCTTTT